TTTATGCATCTAAGGATGACACAGATTTAAAAAAAAAAAAAAAAAAAAAAAAAAAACAACCCACAGCTCAGGCTAGCAGCACAACTCCAGGCTGGGCCTCTCAAGGGTTGTCTCCGAGGCTCGGTTGTTAAATGACTTCTTGACTTGAGACCTGAAGTGTCCTGCACGACCTTGAGCCTGTGCTGCCTCAGCTTCTGCGTCCTGCTGCGTGGTGGTGTGCAGAGGGGCTCCGCTGTCCTCTCCCACCTCCCCTGCTCCCTGCGGGACTGCTGGTCATTGAGAGCAGGTAGTGGCTGCGCAGCGGGGGCTGTGTCATTCTGATTAATATTAATGATCAGACACATAGTTGCCTTCTGTGCTTCCGCCCTGCCAGCTGCCTTCTTGGGGGTGGGGGGGCTGATGTGGGAAGTGGGAGCCCCGCCTGCCCCCACGGGGGAGGAGCTTCCCTTGACCTCGGCAGGGGTGCAGGAGCCCACTGCCATCCAAGCTGCTTGGAGGCTGAGGCAGGAGAATCAACAGTTGGAACAACCTGAACAAGCCTTCAGGGACTTTGCAAGACTGTATCTTAAAATAAAATGAGGCCGAATAAAATAAAATGAGGGTGGCCAAATAGCTCAGTGGATTCAAGCACCTGCTTAGGCAAATGCGGGGGCTGGGGTCCAGTCCCCAGGCCTGCGTGTGGGCCCTGGGACCTGCCCCTAGGGCGCGCTGAGATGGTGGTGGTGTGCGCCTGTAATCCTAGCACTTGGGAGGCTGAAAAACAGGAAGGATCACTAGGAGTCCGATCTGTGTAGTGAGACCCTGTACTAAATACAAAATAAAGTGAAAGCTCAGTGGCGGGGCAAGCACTTGCCCAGCAGGTGCAAGGCCCTGTGTGCGAACCAGCACCACACATAATCCCCAAAGGGCCCAGAATCCATCTCTTCCCTGTCGCCCTAGATTTTCTCTCTGGGCCACTGCCCCAACCAGGACTGGCTGGCCGTGGGCATGGAGAGCAGCAACGTGGAGATCCTGCACGTCCGCAAGCCTGAGAAGTACCAGCTGCACCTCCATGAGAGCTGCGTCCTCTCCCTCAAGTTCGCCTCCTGCGGTATGTCGGCCCCATCCCCACAGGCTCTCCGGCTTGCGGTCCCCCTGCCTCAGCCTCCCAGAGTGCTGGGATGACAGGAGAGCACCACATCCAAGGCTGCCTACTTTTATTTTGGACTGGGGAGGGGCACTAAAGATCAAAAGTAGGGCCTCACTTGAAAGAGCAAATAATCCTGGCCACTTGGGAGGCTGAGGCAGGAAGATTCCAAGTTTCAGTCCAGTCTGGGAAACTTTGCAAGAACTTGTTTCAAATAGAAAATTTAAAAGGGATGGGGCAAGGGCCGGGGAGATGGCTCAATAGAATAAGCACCTGCCTGGCAAGCGCAGGGGCCTGAGTTCAACTCCTGTTCTGCAAAAAAAAAAAAAAAAAAAAAAGGGATAGGCCAGTGCATGGTAGCCCACACAGGTAATCCCAGCACTCTGGAGGCTGAGGCAGGAGGATCGTTGGAAGTTCGAGAACAGCCTGGGCTACAAAGTGAGCTCAAGTCCAGCTAGAGCTGCATAGGAAGACCCTGTCTCAAAAGACCAAAAATTGGGGCCGGGGAAATGGCTCAGTAGAATAAGCACTTCCCTGGCAAGTGCAAGGGCCTGAGTTTAGTCCCTGGTTCTGCAAAAAAAAAAAAAGAAAGAAAGAAAGAAAGAAAGAAAGAAAGAAAGAAAAAAAGAAATTAAAAAGGGATGCAGCTCAGTTTAACACTCTGAATTCAATCCCTAGAGCCACAAAAATTTAAATAAAAGGGTGAGGTGTCTATATTCTTGGGTCCCTGACCCTCAACCTGCTGCCTTCCCCAGGGCGGTGGTTTGTGAGCACCGGCAAGGACAATCTGCTCAATGCCTGGAGGACACCATATGGAGCCAGCATCTTCCAGGTACCCGACCTCTCTCTCCCCAGGGTCCATGCATCTCTTCCCATAGCCACTGCTGACGCCAGGGATGGCGGACGCTCTTCCGTGCTTGGTGTCACACTGAGCATGGCGTCCTCACAGTCCGCTTACGCCGTGGTGTCACAGCCTTTTCCTAGTTGTGTAATATTCTGGTGGAGGAAGAACTTCACTGTGTGCATCCATCCTCCTCCCTCCCCCCTCCCTCCCCCCTCCCTCCTCTCTCC